TGCTCTATCGCAAACAGAATTGATGTTTTGTTTATTTAAACTCTTTTCAATCTAATTTTCTTTTATCTATAGTTGTTACAGTATCATATTTCATGGCCATGGGAAACCAAAGGAGATTAAAATACGCTAATTAGCAACAACCTTAATAAGTGAATACGAGGTTCAATATCTTTTAATTTCCTCGAAGCTTCTATGAATATTCATGGTGTTACCAATCAATAATGATCAAGTCTTGCCTCCACAATATAAATTTAAAATGATACAAATTTAAATACCAATTATCATCTCCAAATATTTGACTGAGTCAATTACTTAATTGGTATAGGTCAATCGCTATTGGCTCTGACATCATTTTTACGTGGTCATGGGAAGCCCAGAAATATCTATTGTGCAGCCGTTGCACAATACATTTCATGCGACTAACCAATCAAAATGGAGCAAGAAGCTGTGTTGTCCGTACGGAAAAAGAAAAAAATATTTTTTAATCCACTTGTCATCTTTTTAATTGCAGATGTACATACGACTGCCGTGTAGAAAATGATCTCTGGGAAGCCCAAACCCAAATCAAAGTGACTACCCTTCAAATGTTAATGGATTAAGCTCTGACACTATATTTTAACTAAAAACTTTCACTTATTCATTTTTTTTTTTTGATATATTCCAATCAGTTTATCATTTTGGGACTAGTTTAATTTAGGGCGTCTGTAAATTAAGACTTTAAATCTCTCTCAAAAATAATATTAAGAAATATCAAACACATACTCTCACCCTTTCATACTCTTACCCATTTATATCTCATGAGTAATTTTATCACTTGCAGTTATATTCCCACTTATCTTCCACAATCAGCATCGACTTCGGATAATTTATAAACAGTCGAAAATAGAATTGCTAGTAGTATAGTTGCCAATTCAATAGTTGGCATTCTTTGAACCATGTTTGACTTTTAAGATTTTATTTTAAAAAATACTTTGAAAGGTTGAGACCCCAATAAACAACATATTGCAAGGTGTACTATTTTTCCCCTTCACGAATATATATATTTTCGCCTTCAATTTTTTTTTTGATATAAACTTAATGATTTATTAGTTATATTTTTAAAACGGGGTGTGTGAAATTTTACAGATTAAAAGTTATTACATGCTGAAGATTATCAAATGTAAATAAACAAGAAAAAAATATGGCATGCCTAAACACAAATAATAATAATAATAATAATAATAATAATAATAGCATCATTTAAAGTATGATTGTTAAAATCTCGATTTATCAATACGATTTTACATTTTGACAATTTTTTTTATCAAAATAATTTAACAATATCCCAAATACTTTTACGTTTTTATGATTTTTTATATTACGATTTTACGATTTTTTAGTCCCTTTTAATTTTAGTAAAGATCTCGATTTTAACAATCTTGATTTAAAGTATAAGATAAACGCTAAATATTTTATGCCATGCATTTTAAGAACAGGTAATTATAAATATTTGAGTATTTAATACATATAGATGAAATGAAACCCCTGAAAGTGATATCCAAAAAAGCACATCTGCACCATTGGGCCGGCATATACATATATGGTACAATATATGCATTCAAGTATTTTCCACGAGGAACATCCTCTTGGCCGTAGCCCCCACCTGGCGGTGGATCTGCATTTCTGGAATCATTTTCGTGACAATGACGCATCCTATGCTTATAAGTTATAACCTCCCTTACATATGCTCTTCCTAACTGAGTTGTGAAAGGTAACAATCCTCATTGAAACTTGCGCTTTTCCTTACCTTTCTTTTCTATTTATAACATTAGCATCTCTCTCTCTCCTTGCATAGCTTGTATATTCCTCAATAATATGATGAGCCAAGTTGTCTATAAACTCTTTATTCCTTATCCAAGTTATAAAGTATAGACTAGCTTATAGATCAAGTTCTCTTTCTTTATAGTATTGGTACATTCTTAGCTTAGCTTGGAGATTTATACTCCATGATGTTCATCGCCGGTGACTAAACTTTTTCTCATTATTTTATGGTCTCGTCCAACTTTTAAGACATCTCAAAGAGTAAAGACTAAGAAACGTAAAATTGAAGCCGTGGGATTAAATATATGCGTATTCAGAGAGAGAACATGCGTATATGGTCCTGGCCCCGTTGTCAACAAAATATTTAATTGACATGGATTAATTATTTTCATTTAGATGCTAGGTTTCTATATATGTAATTAATTATTGGGTGGATTTAGGCTTGAGAAGAAATACCCGTGACATTTGGAATCAGATGGCATTTCTATGAAGCTTATATTAATGCTCTAAATATAACTGATGTTCTTTTCCTACTAGTAACAAGTTGTCATTGATTGAAGCAGTGCAGGGCCTTTTTAAAGGAAAATGTGTTAAGGTATTTATATAAGTTCTTCATAAAAGGTTAAATTTTAGAAAATAATAATAATTTTTTTCATAAATTAAAAATATTAAAATATAAAAAACATAAATCATAAAAGCGGTTTTTTTATATATAAAACCCTGTTAATTCAAGCACGCCAATAATATATTTATAGTTATAAAATGATTGCTTTGGAGAAAGGATCGAGTTATTGAACGACATTGAATATTTCATAAGCGAACTTTGAGATTTTTCACCTGTAAACTTTCATATAAAAGTTTTTTTGTTTCTTTAATCACATACATCATGAATCAAACTTATCATCTTTATTTAAAGAATAATGACATTATTTATGCACAGGGAAAGATAAAATGTTATACATACATGTCGTAAAAATAAAATAAAATATAAAAGGCATACACATCATGAAGGTTGGTACTTTTGTACGATAATAAGAATTTTGTATTTTCATCATGAAAACACAATTTTCCCCTTGATATGTCCTTTTTTATGCATCCTAAGTGCTTAATTTAATTTTTTGATGCTAAAATAACACTAGTTTTTTTTAATCGACTTGGTATAATTTGAGGATTGTTCCCATTGGATAAGACTCTCCCAATATTATATTGGGTTCGAGTCCTAAAAATAAAAAAATAGTGTTGAGAAAATTGTCCCAAATTCGACGGTGTTAGGATTAAATCAATTTAATGCTAAAATGAACAAACTAGTATAGATAAAGACACTTCATATATGTCTAGTTTAAAATAATTTCAACTGCAAATTTTATTTATAGATCGAGAGAGAGATGCAATACAGAACAGCATTTATTACAATACCTATCCAATTGTTCTTTCGATAGGAACGCCTCAAGACACTTTCTAACAGTTTCTTATAATTAAGATGTTATTCATATCAGTCTGGGTTATTATTAAATCATGAGTAATAATTAAATACATAGATCTTATAGGCCTGCAGGTGATAGAAAATTGAAGTCTGGAAGTGTTGGAGCAAACAGTTAACGGAGTTTCTTAGATTTTTAAAACATATTGTGTGTGTGTTCATATGAGATATATATGACAGTAGAATAAACATTATTTAAATTATTACTAATTTAAAAAGGGGAAATCCACACTTAAATTATTATTTTTTACGAAACCCCTATGTTTAATTTTATATAAATATACAAAAATAGGGAAACAATTTTCAATTTTTAAATTAATTACGAAGTCCTAACTCTAAAACCTGTCAGCTTTCAGGAATTTCTTTTCTTAACTACTAGAATAGACAGAAAATAGTATATATAAGAACTAATAAATTTGCTAATAAACTAAAATATCAATTTATTTTTTAATTAACTTAAATACAAAATAATTAAATTTTACTTTATGATTTTAATATGTAAATGATATTTTAAAAAAAATGATGAGAATATGTTTGGCCTTTGTGATTTATTTAAATGATTTTTTTTTAAACTTTTTTTTTCTCTCAAAAAATCGGCAATGATGTTAAATCTATAAATCGGATGTTTCCTTGCATAATTAACACGAGGTTTTTCATTTAAAATTGAAACCTTATCAGCCATTATGTATTTACGTAAAACTAAAAATAGTTTACCCACATCGAGAGAACTGCTCTTTGATTAAAAATATTGTTAGCATGATATTTAATTTGCAAAGATTTATATTTATATAAAAATCTTAAGGGAAATATTATAAAAAATTCAAGTACTAGAAATTCAATTTATTATTTATTAGGCGATGAGCTGGTAGATTTAGATAGAACAAATCACTTCACCTAGTTGAATTGCATATTAAATCCTCCACGCTGAGATTCTAAATTTTCAAGGGAAAAAAAGATTACAGTATTCAATAGAGGGGGATAATGTTCAAATATGGCGTCTGATAAATATAATTTCCATCCTTGCTGAGATTTAATATATTTCTCATAAAAAGACAAAAAGAAAAAGAAAAACAAAACAAAACTAGATAGTGATTTAAAATCACAAGGTACAAAGCATGTCTCACACCACATATCTCATCCATCCCATCGTGTTATTTATTCCTCTCCCTTATGCACAAAATCAAGTTCTTTCATCAATCCCAAAGCCGGGTCAAATACTTAACCTGACTCACATTTATGCATAATTGTCAAAGCCCATAAACAAATGAACCTTATGTCTCTTCATTTTATCGTAATCAACAATTCACAAAGCAAATTAACCAACCAACCAAAATGCTCACAGACTCCATTGGGTACTACCAAAATAGTAGTATCAAACAAAAAAAGTAGTAATCAATTCCATCACGTAACACAAGCCACCAACCTCATCTACCCTATAGTCTACCATTTTTCAGAACATTAATCTCATTAATTCAGTAATTATATTATAATTACACTAACGTAACCCGTAAGCATAAACAAATATTGTTCAATCATGTAAGAAACCCAGAAAGAAAAGTATACGAATCATACAGGCAAAACACAAAACATTAAATTCTGAAAATTCACCGTTTCTGTTGGTCTGAACGATCATCATTCATGAGATTCATACAAAAACAATCCAGAACAAGAATCACAATCTAACATAATTGAAAAGACCATCAAGCTAAACCATAGAAACAAATGGGAAATAATGAATCAAGTGATGATGGGGTTGGAGAGAATTCAACGTTATGTTGATTCGATTAATGAACATATACGATTCGGGATCCAATATTTCACATCTTTTACAAGTGAAATATATATAACATATAAAAATAAAATAAAAAGGAAAGGAGAGGAATTGATAAAAAAAAAAAAAAAAAAAAAAATCAAAAAAAGAACAAAACTTGTGTAATTTACGTAGTTTCACAGGTTCGAAGGTAGCGTTCGAGGAAGCTAAGGTTGAATTTTCATGTACAAGGGCAGCTCCTCTTAGGAAAAGTGGATCTGAAAAACGCATCCATGTCCTCCTTATTCGTGACCTCGAAGAACTGAAATTCATCCAGAAGCTTCCTCTTGCACGACACGAAGGCCTTCGACTTCCGCGGCGCCGGCGGGCAGGTCAGTATCGCCGGAATCTTGCTCTCCTTCGACGTCGGGGTCCGGTAACTCTCGTCGTCGTCGGCGGAAACTGCGGCGTCATTTTCATCCTTGACTTGTGGGACAACGTTGGACATGTTACGGTCGGAAGAGTGGATGTCTTCCATTTTGACGGCGGAGATTCGGAGCTTGGGCAACTCGTGGTGAAGGTGCAGGTCAGTGGACATGGTTTGAGGGGTGAGAAAAGTAGAAGAGAAAATTACTCAACGTGAAGTGCGTGAAACTGCGTTTGTTCGTGTATATATATAGATAGGTGGGGTGTGGAGGAAAACTTTACGGAAAGCTTTCAAAGCGTGCGTTAGAAGGTAGGAGAGAGAGGAAGAGTGAGAATTAGAGAATGGTAGGATTAGATAAAGAAATTGAGAATGGTAGGAGGATAAGAGAGAGAAAGACACAGTCGACAGAGGAGGTGTTTTGTTTCAGGTGGGGTAGCACGTAGGGAATCATCACCTTCACCCAAACTCTTTTAATTTCACACTTCACACAACTTTATATTGCAATATTATTCAACCATATCAGGAGGATTGGGGAGAAATTGGTCTAATTAAGTAAATTTTAAACATTTTATTTTAATAACTTTTTCTGCTATTCTATTATTAAGTTTTGTTTTATTTACATTTCATATCAATTTAGTAATTTTTAAGTATATTACAAGATTTACTAATTATATAATCATATAGACTTGTCCAAATAATTGTAAATGAGCTTGAATTATCCCAATTTGAAAAAAGTACCATGTTATTATCTAGTCATGAACAACTGCTGCGCAATACTTGTGTGTGTGTGTTTTGTTTTTGTTTTTGTTTTTGTTTTTATAAGCCGATCAACCATTTGGACTTTCTAGTTTCTATCACACTCATTTTTCATTATTATTTTACACGTTAGCACAATAAATTTTTCACCTGTTGTTCTTGAGTTAGAGAGACTTGACAGATCGGAGATAGTAAAAACGGCTGAAGATTTGTGTAGGATTACGTGAGCACTATGGGAAACCTTAATTAATATCATTTATATTTTCATCAATAAAAAGTCTTAACTAGTTATAATTACATGCATAAATTTTCATATCAGAAATATATTTATTCATAATCTTCAAGGTATTTATAATTTTTATTATCATCCAAATTAGTACCGTTTGTTCTATGTAAAATCAAGGTAGTTAAAGTTTTTTCTATGTAAATTCTCCACACAAAAAACGAGAATAAACCACGTTTAATCCGGGCACTCTCTTTCCGTTTTGGCCCTGATAAATTTTAGAGTCAATACTATTTTTGATACTCAGCAAATTTTACTATGCCAATTTCTTGCAAATAAAAAGGTCCCTCGTGGTTTCTAAAAAATTAAAAATGGATTCATTTTAGTTCTTTTGAGGACTAATATGGGTCTTTTTTGAATTTGTGAGGGACCATTATTTCAACTAAATAGATTCATTTTGAATTTCTTAGGGACCACGATGAACCTTTTTATTTGCTAGGGACTAAAACGGATATCGTGAAATTTGCTGAGAATCAAAAAGAGTATTTACTCTCAATTTTATGTGGGGGGCATTTTATATCCTCTAAGAAATAACAGCATATTTGGTGAACAACAAATGAAAATATGCCACGTGTACAAAATTTTACTTTGTTGGACAAACATGCTTTTTGTGTGTGCAATGTGTAGGGAACTAGATAGACTCGGCCGCAGCAGATAAAACGGACTTTCATGAACGGATTTCACAGCCTCTTGCTTTTACGAACAGTCATTAGTGATTTAGTGGAACGTACATCTTACGTTAGAGGCAAAAGGATAGTCATTGTCGAATGGGGTCGTCACCACGCCCCTTCTAAGGCGCGTGTGATCAATTCCTGATCAATTTACTAAGTTATCCTTTTGATTTTTTGTAGATTATTCAGATCCTGCTTGTAAAAGTATTTTTGAAATATAATGGTTTTTTATTTAAGAAAAAATATTTTTTCATATTGTTAGAGATATTTTGTCTCATTCATAAAATAAAATATGTGGGGTCCATCTTTTATAAAAATTAAAATAAAATTAAAATTAAAAAGACTTAAATATTTATTTTTATGACATGAAACAAGATGTTTATAATAATATAAGATTAATAAATTCCTTTATTTAATTAAAAAAATAGAATGAACAGATTATTCTCAACTTATGCAAGACACTCCTAATTTAAGTCTTCGAATAAAATTTAACCATCAGAAATAATATTATCATTTTTCCCTTTTTCAGGTGGGACTTTATTAATATTCCACAAGGAAAGGAAGATTATACATGTGATTTCATATATATGATTATATAAGTGAATTAGTTATAAAATTTTATTAATTAGTTTTTTTGGAGGGGGAATCGAACCTACACTTGCTGCTGCAGATTACAATCCGCAACTATTGATGGAGAAATGATGCGGGTCCCACAAAAATTTAAAAAAAAATACTAAGATAGAATTTATCCCAATTTTATGTTACATGCTGCCGATAGTAATATGCAGTAACTGCATATTCGATTGCCCTTTAGTTTTTGTTAGACTTTGTAATCACATCTATAATTGCGGATAATAATAATTTCTATATTCAACATATAAATAATTGACAATTGCCAAATAAATTTTGATTTAAATAGTAAAAAAAATTGTTACGTACCAAAAGAATGGTAATTAAAGAATTGTTCACTTTATAGTTGGAATTTATGTCCTATTTTTCTCCAAGACATCTAAATGTAATTAAACATCATTATAATTTCATGATTTTTCTCTAATTAATTTTCTAAACATCGTATGTTTAATATTGAGTTTACCATTCATTTTTCTCTCTCACACGATCTCGTTCTTCCTTGTATGGATAATGATATCACCTTCTTTATTCATTTTGTTTATCAGAAAATATATATAACTGGAATTTTGTTGTAAGTTTTTATGATTTTATGAATTACGTATCTCTTAAAAACGGCATATATTTCGAGACACAAGGAACATTAATATTTGATATGTATATATGAATGCTTTGCCATTAGACTCGTACATGCCAAATTTTATCCATTTACCAATAATGTGTGAAAAAAAAAAGAAACAAAAGAAGGGGGCAAGATTGAATGATTGGACTTTTCTCTTTTGAAAATATGGCAAATGAATTGATTTTGTACCATATATATATATATATATCGGAGTGGACTGATCTTGCAATATATACAATTGATGACATGTCATCTTTGATTATTTTTTCGTATTTGTCATTTAGTGCTATATGATTGACAAATGGCTACTATAGATTTATATGAAAATGACTTTCTAATTCTCACTAAATTTCATTATGTTTGGCCCTAAGAATGTCGAGACTCAAGCACGTATACAAATCACCGTAAATACTAGAAATGAATTGATCATATTATTACTTTTTCGACTAATAGAAACTTGCTTGCCTGTTTATTAGCCTTTCTTGGAATCAAAATTTGAATTGATTATTTTTAATTATAGTATTCTTATATATATATATATATATATATCTCCACTACTACAAGGGCGGGAATATTGAATTTAAACTTCAGCCTATTTTCAATTGGGAATTTCTATTAATGAAGGTCTTATTTAATTAACTTGAGAGAATCAAATATTACCAAAATTATTGAATTAAGGTTGTATACTTTTTTTTTTTTGGTAAATAGGTTGTATACTTTTTATTTGATGTGATTTTGAATACATATTGAATTAATGATTAATAATTCTAGGCATATACAAAATACATGCTCAAATTCTATTCATTTGATAAATTAGTTGGTTCTTTTAAAGACCACTTACTTGTCTGTCTAAACATAATTAATTATTTTAAAAGTTTCTGGTCAATATATATTTGAGTTACAATGCAATCGCATAAGATTTTATGAATCTGTATTTTTCCCCAGCAAACATGATTTTGTTTAAGTACATGAATCTGAAATGTACGACGGAAATGCAATCTTCAAAACATTGGAACATGAGACAGTATCTTTTGACATCAGTGTCAGATAAAAAATTTGACACTTTATCTAATAATCGATTATCTTGCCTTGATTTAATAATTATAATTTATAAGTATGTGATATTGTTGATATATCTAATGGGTATTCAGATGGGATGTCAAATTTTTAATTTAATATCGGTATATCAAATGATGTTACCCTTGCAATATATATATATATATATATATATATATATATATATATATATATATATATATTGATGATTTATTGTCCCCCGTAATATGGCATTAACATGTGTTCGTAATCTCTTTGTCCGTTGCGGAAAGATGGGTCTCTCGGCTGATCCCATCATGCAAGAGGGTGTTCGTTTTCATCCACCCCACAGAAGATGCGCGTGCACATGGGCATTGCATGCAAAGAAGACGACCTATCTTTCTGTGCCTTGTTGTTCTCTCTCTCTCTCTCTCTCTCTCTTTCTCTTTCTTCTCTTTAATATCATTTTTTTTTTTTTTTATAACATCTTTAATATCATTTTTGTTCGTGATCTTTCTTTGATATCATTAGCATAGGATACCGTCTTAGAGCCTTGAATACGCCCATCTACTTCTCTCTCTCTCTCTCTCTCTCACCAAAAAATTGCGTTTGTTAGTGTGGATTGGGTTTACCAAATACCAACCCATCATCAAATGAATCTTTCCACGTGCAGTGTCTACTTACTACACATTTATGTGCTTGGTTTTCACTGCTAATCATAAGCATACCAGTTATATTGTTTATTTACAAAACATTTTATATTGTATTGGTATAAAATTGCATACGTTGTGCATTTTTACAACACAAGTTTTAACTTTTTTTTTTTATAAAAATTAAATGACATGGACCTGTACTCAACCACACTTTTACTTATTTTAAACACTTTAAATTTACTGCATTATATGTTGTGTTCAATTTTTTATATTATAATTTAATGATGTATGATATAATATTAAAAAAATATTTTTTAGCAATAGTAAAATACTTTCAATAATTTGAAAATACAGAATTTGATAATAAGTTTTAAAAAACGTATATTAGTATTATATCAGATCTAAATTCATTTAAATTAGTATGAATTTGACGATGTTGGGTATGGCTCATACTTCACATGATGATGTTGGCCCTAATTGTCGGGGTCAGCAGAAAGGCAACTGGGGTCCCGCTCCCAGGTGAGCGGGCGGGGGTCCGGGGGGCAGCGCCCCCAGGCCCGTAGAGGCTAGGTAATGTTTAGGCCTCTGTTTCTATTGTAATTTTCTTAGCATTTTGGGCTTGGGCCCATGAATAGCTGCTGTTAGGGTTTCTTGTAATCCTATTTATATTTGCCTTGTAAACCGAGAGACTTGTAACGAGTGGCGGTGAAGTGAATATAGTACAGACAAGCTGGACGTAGCCTATATTGGGTGAACCAGGGTAAATCATCGTGTCAATCTCTCTACTCTTATCTCTTTTTC